GACGGTGCACCAGACCACCGATACCGACGCCCTATAAAGTTCGTCCATGGAGTCGTCCTCCCCACATCTCTCTCACTGTGAGCTCCCATTACTTATGGCTTTGACGGGCGAACGCATGACGACGTCCCACGCGAGGCAGCGCTGACTGACCATTACCAAATTTTCGCACATTCGGAGGAACCAGAAAATCTGAATCAGTACCACTCTCTCCAGCGCGCTCCGAGTCAGAGGGATGGGTTGCACGCCCCAGGGTGTTAGCTAAATCAGTGAGCTGGTCTCGCCACCCCCTTGGCTGCAAGGGGAGGGCTCCAGAGGGCGCTCGGGACCTGCAAACCTCACGTCTCGGATCGCGGGCGCGAGATGGTCGGGGTCGCATACGGCAGGATCAGAGGGGTGGACCTCCCGTTCAATGTCGTCATGGCCAGGTGGCGAGCTCGGTTGGTCAACGAGGCGCCAGTCTGACGCCGAAGGGAACCGAGTGACGCAGCGCGACCGCAGTGCCCGCGACGTGCAGCCTCCCCCACAGACGTTTCCAGGCAGTGACACTGTGCCTTGCTCCTCACCGGAGCTTGTCAGATTATGACCTCCACATGGGACAGCTTGAGCTGGACTGCCCTGACCTTTTTAGGGCTCAGGGCTGTAGGCAGCGAGGCCTGTGACGATCGAAAGAAGAATGCGCCACTCTGTGCACTCGTCGCAACACCTACGCCGCGTCCTCGCAATACTCGGCCGCCCCTGTGGTGCATATGACAACGCCGCGTCGTCGGGCTCTTGCAGAACAACTTTTGGGTGGAGGGCGACGGGGCCAGCCGAAACGTGCACCTCACTGCCGCTCGAGCGTGGCGTGGGCCGCAGTCTACGCCGCCTTCTCACATGAACTTTTCCCCCGACCCAGATCTACACAGACGAGGGCGGACGTCACGGACTCCTCGCCTCCCATGCGACGCCCTCGGCCAAAACGATGACTCACGAAAGGCAGCAAACGGCACCACCCGCTGCAACAACTGAACACATGCTGCCAAGTGGAACATGAAGAGAGGCACGGCGGCGGCAAGGAAGGGGGGCTGTGTATGGGGAGACAGGGGAGGGAGCAGGGGTCGGCGAAGGGAGCAAGACGGGGGCACCTCTGGGCCAACTCCTCATCCGCTCCAGGCCATCTGCTCCTCGTACTCCTCTGGCTCCTTCGCTCACCCGCTCGCCCTCCTCGTCATCCTTCTCTTCCTCCTTGCCTCATTTATCCCCGCTACTGCTGCAGCTGCTGCAACTCCTTCCTCCCTTCTTCGTCTTGCCCCTTCTCTTCTCGTCGTCGTCGTCGTCCTCCTCCTCCTCCTCGTCCTACTCGTCTTCTCGCCTCTCAGCCCGTCCTGATAAGCAGAGGAGGTGTGTTGTAGGAGCGGGCGCGGTGTCAAAAAAACACGCCCTCCCAACAGTGCGGCGCCGCGGCGGCGCTGGAACACCCTGACAAAGGGGATAGCACAAGGGGAGGGAGAGGGAGAGGAGGGTGGAGGGGGAAGGCGAGGGGAGGGGGAGAGACGGAGGTGAGGAGGAGAGAGAGAGAGAGAGAGAGAGAGAAAGAGAGAGAGAGAGAGAGAAATAAAAAGAGAAATATAGAGAGAGAGAGAGAGAGAGAGAGAGAGAGAGAAAGAGAGAGAGAGAGAGAGAGAAAGAGAGAGAGAGAAAGATAATGAGAGAGAGAGATAGGGGGCGGGGGAGGGACGGACTGAGGGGGGCGAGATTGGAGATGGGGGGAGGGGAAGGAAGAGATGGGAGGGACGGGGAATGAGCAGGGAAGAAGGGAAGGGGAGGGAAACAACGGGGATGCGAAGGGGGAAGGGAAATGAAGGCATGCGAGGAGGAGGAGGGGGAGGAGGAGGGGGAGGAGGAGGAGGAGGAGGAGGAGGAGGAGGAGGAGGAGGAGGAGGAGGGGCAGGAAGAGGAGGGGCAGGAAGAGGAGGGGCAGGAACAGGAAGAGGAAGAGGATGAGAGGAGGGACGGGAGGATGAGCAAGAGGAGGAGCAGGACGAAGGGGAGATGGAAAACGAGAGGGAGCAGCAGGCGGAGAAGGGGGCCCTCGCGGCGCGCGGGGGAGCCCTCACAGCGCGGCGGGCAGCGCCAACTCCGCCGCAGCCGCGGGCGCGCTGGCGCCGCGCAGGGCCTGGGGGCTCTCGGCCTTTTTTTCTGTCGGTCGAATGTTTACTTCAAGACAGCACCTACAGTCGGGCTCGATCGGAGAGGACACGCGCGAGGACATAATACTCTTCCGAGGGCTATATTGCCATTGGAATGCAAAGGCACGGGCCTCTACAGACAGGACACAAGGGTACCCTCGATTTGGCAGGGTCGACCTACTAATCAAGGCCGACTGTATTGCTGATCCCTCCCAAACGATTGCCCACGGTGTTTTTCAGTAGAGTTCCCGCGCCCTGCTTCTTTTCGCCAGGGGACATCGGCCCGCGGGCTGCAACGAGTGTGTGCGTCTTGTGCTTGACATGTTCGGAGGCCCCAGGGCCTCCAGGGGACGCGGCGGAGTGGGGAGGGGAAGGGGAAGGGGCCCTCCTCCTCCTCCTCCTCCTCCTCTTCTTCCTCCTCCTCCCCCTCCTCCTCCTCCTCCTCCTCCTCCTCCTCCTCCTCCTCCTCCTCCTCCTCCTCCCCCTGGCGAACTGACGCTGAGGGTCGGCTCGTCCTGGGGCCGAGACCTCTGGCCCCCTTGCTCGGTGTCCCGCGGGACCGGAGGCAGCGGGAAACGCCAGAGCCCGGGAGTGTGGCCGCCGCCGAGCAGGTACCTTGGACGCTCGCCCTCAGATCCATGGAGGACGAGGCAGGGGAAGAGGGATGAGCGAGGGGGAAGATGCGGATGATACGCAAACGAGGAAATTGTTGATGATGGTGATGATGGCGGTGATGGTGATGGTGATGGTGATGGTGATGGTGATGGTGATGGTGATGATGGTGATGGTGATGGTGGTGGTGATGATGATGATGATGATGGTGGTGGTGGTGGTGGTGATGATGATGATGATGCTACTGCTGCTGCTGCTGATGATGATGCTGATGTCGGTGGCGGTGGGAGGTCCCGCCGCGAATAGCTCAGCGACAGAGCCCGAGCGCAGGCCCAGGGTATGCCAGAGATGTAGGTGATGGTGCGGTTGGTGCTGAAGTAGTCTCGGGGGTGACGCGGACGCCATTCACGAAAGATGCCGTCTCGCCCCAGATGGTGTGATCGTACGTGCCCGTGCCCTCGTGCGTGGTCACAAGGTCGCAAAGCGCGTCGTCGAGCAAGCCGCAAACAACATGGCTGTCGAATAGCCGTGCACAACCGGCCTTGCGCACGAAGCCGCAAACCTTGCAGTGCTCGACGATATCGGTCAACGGGGCAACGACGTGCTTGAGCCTGATGGCGACCCACTCGAGGCGCTTGGGCGTGCAATGAGCCGTGTCGGCGTGAGGCACCGCATCAACATGTCGAAGATCCACGGCATCAAGGAGGTGACCACGTCAACAAGTGGAGGATCCGCGTCATCACCCATATCAACCCCAACGCGTGGACGATTCGCACCAACATAGGGATTCGCAACCGCACCAAACTCCGCGACAACGGGAAGATCCGCATCTGCACGCGGCTCCGCGTCGGCGAGAGGTTCCGCTTCTGCGAAAGGTTTCGCTGCAGCGGGTGGAAGGTTCGCGACAATACGAACATCCGCGTCAGCGCGGTGAGGATGCGCACGAGGAGCGTGAGGATTCGCCCGTGGAGACTGATGGTGAGGATAACGAGCACGGTCACGGCGGCGACGTTGCGAGATGCGCAGCGTTGCAGTGATTTTCTTGCTCTGATCAAGAGGTTCAGTGTGGATGCCGCAAAGATCCACGAAATCAGGATGACCAGCGCGGGGGACTCCATGGGCGATGATTTCAAGATCTCCTGCTTGATGCTGCCGTGTGCGATTTTCTGTACC